ATAATTGCATTAATCAGATGACACAAAGTTGGTAAAAGTTCGCTACACAATCTTTTTACGTCCAATGATGATTCTCGTCAGTTTCTTCAAGCACTAAAGAGTGTGACACAGATTTAAATTTGATACTTTTAGAGTTTTTTCTTTGGTCGTTTACTGTATCTGTGACACTCTTATTGAAGAATTTGTTGACATTCTCTATCACTAATTCGTCCGTTATTATCGATCCATTCACATTTAAACATTCTAATCTTGACTTTGTCTTTCTTCCCAACATTCCATTTAGCTTGTTCCACATAGTACGTGGGTTGTTGTTTTGTAGCTGTAGATTAAAGTATTTCCTTTTTTCAGTCGCAATTGTTTTCCTTACTTTGATAGATTCAAGCTTTAACATACTTTTTAGTTTTCCTTTCTTACATCTCGTCCGTTTTATTCTTCTTGTCATAATCTGCTTCTTCTTTAGTGCATTTAAGACTTTCCAATTATACCATGGGCAATTTATGTTATTGGGTTTAATCCTGATTTTCAGTGTTAAAGTGTTTTGATTTAGTGCCTCTTGTGTTGCTTTTATCAACAAATAATAATTAAATTCTCTATACTAACATTTAGTGAAGGCCAATAAACTGATTCTTTGGCGAAACGTAAGGTTTTAGTAATTCCCATGTGACCTTCATGAAGATCTTTAAGAACATTTTCTCTCAATGATTTGGGAACTATTATTCTATCCTGATAAAATACTAAATCATCCGAAACATAAATTTCATTTCGCAAATTATAAAAGAATTTTATTTCATCAGGTACTTTTGATTTGTCTGACGGCCAGCCCTCACCAAAGTATTTCTTTAACAACGAGCATTCTTTATCTTTATCTGTCTCAGCTTGATAGATTTTTAGTTTATCATCACTAATATTCACTGAATGAATCATTTGTTTCATGAAATTCTCTTCAAAATCTACAGCTATCAAATTATTTGAAACGTATCGAGATAAGTAATCTGCTACTGGAATGCTTTTGCCGTGCTTGTACTTCAAATCTAAATCATATTTGTATAACTTTAATCGAATACGCTGCAAGCGTTTTGATCCTATCTTACTAATATCTTTATTAATTATACTTTCTAAAGGACGATGGTCAGATATTATAGTAACTTTCCTTCCATAAATATAATTGTGAAAATTTTTGCACGCAAAGAAAACGGCTAAAAATTCTTTTTCAATCTGACCGTACTCCTTTGACTGTTTCAGAAAGACAACGTGAAGCAAAGCTAATAACTTTATCTCCTTGTTTTAAACATGCACCTAAACCGTATGACGAGGCATCGGTTTCTAAAATTATTGGCATATTTTCATCAAATGTAGTACATGAGGTGACGTTTTTTATTACTTCTTTAATGCTGTCAAACTCAGCTTGATGATTATCAAGCCATAAAAATTCACTATCCTTCTTTAACAAATTACGTATATTGACTGTTAAAGAAGTTAAATTGGGAATGAAGTCCCTTATATAATTAATTATTCCTAAAAACTTTTGTACGTCTTCCAGATTTTTAGGATTTGGAATACTATTAATTGCTGAAATCCTTTCTGGATCAACATCTACTTTATTCTTAGAAAAGATATGGCCAAATAATTTTACTGAACTTTGTGTGAATTGTAATTTCTTCTGATTGAATTTCACACCAGACTTTAATGCCCTGACCATTAATCTTCCTAAATTCTCGTCATGTTCTCTGAGCGTTTTACCAGTAATAATAATATCGTCAATATAAAATTTGACTCCAGGTAAATCGCCAAAAGTATCCGTCATGTACTTTTGAAAGATTTCTGATGCAATATTTATACCAAAAGGCATTCTATTAAATTGCCACAAGCCAAAAGGAGAACTAAACGTGCACAATTTTTTGGATTCTTCGTCCAACTCTATGTGCCAAAAACCATCCTTGAGGTCTAAAACCGTAAAGTATTGAGAATCTTTCAAATCTTGCTTTAATTCATCAAGGGATGGAATCGGAAAATGAAACTTATTTAATGCTTGATTCAAATGTTTTTGATCAATACAAATTCTAATTTTGTCTCCTTTTTCAACAATTACTATACTATTAATCCATTCACGTTATTCATTGACACGTGAAATAATTCCTATCTTTTCCATTTCATTTAATTTATTCTGAAGCTTATTCTTCAACTTGAATGGAATTCGACGATTCTGATTTGCCGCCGGAATTGCATTATCCTTTAATTTCAATTTAAGAGGTCTATTAAATTTGCCTAGACCTGTAAAAGCTTTTTTATAAAAATCTAAAAACTTATTCTTTTGCTGTTCTGAACACAACATTTGATTCAATTGCAAGGAATCTATACGAGATATAAGTTTTAGATTTACACATGTCTCTAAACCTAATATAGGTACCGTATGTTTATCAATGATTATGAATTCTTCAAGGTAAACATTATTATTGAAATTAATTGGAAGAATCGTCTTCCCTAAAGGGTGATTGATTTCACCAAAATATCCTTGTAATTTTAAATTACTTTTCTCAATCTTAAATTTCTTTCCTAAACTTTTGAACATATCTATGCATAAAGTATTAACTTAAAATTGATCATTTTATCATGCACGAGTAATTTTTTACTCCAAACATTGCCTATTGCATGTTCTTTTAGTTCATCACAATTGATTACTACATTAGACTCACTGCTTTTGCGTTCATCATCTGCACAGACCTTCTCCTTCTTCTTTTTGCTTATTGAATTCTCAAATTTTTTGCTCTTAATTTGAGAATTTTCACGTTTATATGACGTCGGTTTGTGAAGAACACGTTGGTCAACTGCTGGTATTTGATTCGCTTTTACACTGTCTGATGCTAGTTGATTCAATTGTTGTTGATTGTAGTAGAAAATTTTGATTTTGCTAATCAACGTACGTAATGACTTTTCTTCAGATAAAATGAGCTTTTCTCCTCAAATTGTTGTTATGCAGACCGAAAATTATTTGATCACGATTGGCTTCTTCTTTGAACTCATTAAATGTACAGCTATCGGCTTGGGTTTGAACGTCACTAATGAACTTGTCGACAGATTCCCCTTCTTGTTGAATTCGACCACGTAATTTCATTCGTTCAATTAAAAAATTTGATAACGGTGAAAAATGATTCTCGAGAGCCTCAAACACTTTTTCATAGTTCTGCTTCTCTGGATCTGTTAATTGCAGATTCTTGATGATATCCACTGACTTATATCCCATCAATAGTGTCAAGAAATTGAGTTTGATGTTGTCGGATTTCTCATCAAATTGGTTGATTACCAAATATGAGTTGAATTCTTTTGAAAATCGTTTCCATTCAATTTTTAACGTTGAAGCTTCAAAATTGAACTTTTCAATACTTAAATACGACTGCGCCATGTTTTATTTTTGATTTTTCAATGAAACACGTCTTTATGTTTTTGTTCGAGATATTCAACTGATTTATTGTTTTTCTCGGATTACTGAGATCATTATTTTAAAAGGACATTATGTGTACCAGTGTTATATGTAATCGTATAGGTAAGTTGATTTCTTTCAAAAAGTTTATCGGCCTGTTTCACTAAAGTGGATTATCCTCGATTTCGGATTATCCACTTCAGTTTTTTGTAAATATCTTAAACTTTATGGGAGGTGTGGTATTTATAATTTTGGATTATAATAGAGTGAAGTATGCCTGAAATTTCTGTATACTTTAAACTTTTACTTTTCGTTAAGAAGTATTCATTATTCAATTTTCTAGCCAAATCTAGTAGATTATCTTGGATCTTTGCTATAATTCTCAAACTAGTGAAGATATAAAAATTCTAAGTTTATGTTAATTTAAGTAGCAAAATACTCTAACTAGATCACACATAAGATCACTTAAAAACCTTAAGCGCCTGGAGATATTTCCAAAAAATTGAAGTGGATAATCTTAAATCGAGGATTATCCACTTTAGTGAAACAGGCCGTATAATTTTATCTGTTTCGACTTTTTCGTCTAGTTCAATTTAGCCCAAGGACTATAGATAGCACGCTGTCAGTTGAATTAAAAATATTTTGAATTTTTCGATATTGTTTACAAAAGTCCGAAAATGAATTTTTTCATAAATTCTCAAAATTTCCTATTTTAAATAATTTTTAGTTCTTTTTAAGCATGTTGCTATAATTATTCAGTGATAATAAAAGATTTGCAACTGTCATAGCTTAAATTATGCTTCAAATAGTTGAAGAAATTGCAATTGAAAATTTTTGTCAAAAACTGGAAGAATAAATCAAAAAAACCGTTTTACAGCATCATAAACCTAAAACCACTTAAATACAATGTATTTAAGGAAGGGCATTTGAAATTTTAAAAACAATAAAATAAAAAAATTATAACGTAAATAACAATTTCAAAGTTTTGCCGCGAAACTTTTCGAACAAGAAAAGTTGTTGAAAATTCGAGTTCGAATTTTCAACAACCATCCATAGTCCTTGGAATTTAGCTATAGCTGTTGGATTATTCGTGCACTCAAAATTGTGTTTAATTGTAAGTTCATTGCATGTCCATTTTGGGGGGTAGGGATTTTTCTATGAGGTGAACGTGCGTTAAATTTGTATGTCCGATTCTAACCCTAGAATTCCTTTCTATGTTAAATATACATAAAAAAATATGGTTGGAATGGTGTGAATATATCCGCATTGGGTTTCTATCCGAAACACTAGTTTTCTTTTGTAGTTTTTCGATGATTTATATCCAATAAAATCTTTGTTTTGATTCTAGTCATGACTCAACTTCTATTGATCTTAGTTTTAAGTTCTGGACTTGACTTATATTCGACTAAACCTTAGTCATGAGAACAAATTTGTCATCAATATCGTTTTATTGATCTACACGAGGAAAATGCGCTTATTTTGTGCGATTACATCTGTAATTGCGACTTCTATGCTAGTTTTAATCTGGGCATTTGATAAATTCGATTATGAAAATTTGTTTTTAATCTTTTGAAATACTTACCCAAAAATAATGCAAAATGGAAATATATCAAATAATACTGATGCACTAATAGGTAGATGTTTTTCTTCGCGGGTCATTGCCAATGAGGCTAATGAAAAAGCTCGATTATCGAAGGACAATTGAAATGTATAGTGATTAGTTTCTCCTAAAAAATCTGATTTGACTAAGTCAATTTGCATATCCTTATTATAAAAGTGACGAGCAACCTAAAATAGACATGAATTTTTTAGTATTTTTTTAAAGAATTTATTTTATTCCTAATACTACTAACTTGTCGTATCTGTCCCATTGTATAATATACCTATATCATATGAAAAATTGTAAATATAATATTAGTTTAAGAAAAAAATTCATGAACAAATTATTCATACAAATCCTTTTCTTCTTGTTCGATAATGTAAAGTTAGGCCATGCCTGGTTTCATTTTCACAGAAAAAAGATGGTGCTCTAATTTGTAGAAAATTGAGAAACACATAAACTTTTATTCATATTAACAAAATACCTACTTGATAGAAATAGAATAAATGTTAATGATAGATTATCAAAATGTTTATATTGTTAATTATGTTCAACCAGAATGGTTAATAAACATATATACAACTAGCTAGTCTATGAACACGTCTCTAGACTAGCTAGATTGGTATGTTTATTCTTTACAAATGAAAAAAAAAAATAGTTTTTCTGAAAAATTTATTTTCTCTGATTTCCTTTTAACATGAAAAATTAAAAAAATTTAACTTTCATAGATCAAAAAACACTTTTAAAAAAACTACGTTTTGAAATTCTGCCTTTTTCCACGGATTACCACGAAATAAAATCTCTTTAGTAACTCCATGATACAACCCCGAGCGACACAAAGCTCCGAAAATCAACTCAAATAATTTAATTAAGTCGCAACCTCAGAAATTTCGAAGTCTTGATCACACGCGTGAGAAACATGAAATTACCAAAAAGTCTTATATAAATCAAACGAACCAATATAATAGTGATTTCATATAAAATCACTAAAAATATCATTTTTTACGCTTTTAAAGCTTGAATTGATAAAATATGAACTTATTTAACTAGACTTAGACCTTCGTCTTTTGAAATTGGAATGCTCGAGTTTTTCAGTATTTCATTCAAAAAATAGCGGAATTCATATGGAATGCAAATAGAAGCTTTATGAAGTATGAAAAAATAGCCCTCCATTTACTCTCCACTTAGTTTAGGCAGCTTCCAAATGGATTTTATATGGAGACCTCCCTCTACCTTGTGTTGCTCGGGAACACTTATAAAAAAAGTTGGCTTACTATTGAACCAAACTTTTGATGGAACAGGACTTTTGAAAAATTTGCACAAGGTTTGTTAAATTAACCAAATTAAAAAATGATGTCTTAAAAATGATAAAATTTTTATTCAGGATATTTGTAATTGTAATTTAATTAAATTATAGCCAAGGAGGCTCTATCATCGTTAAATGTGTTACTTTGATCAAAATTCGACTGGACCCAAAAAATATGCTTTTTCGAAAATTTTTGTATCGAAAGTGAGGTTGCTGGGTTATAAGTCCAGAAAATCAAAGTCAATAAAGGTTTATAAGTCCAGATACAAATTGCACCTGGACCTAAAAACATCACGTGCAGTTTATAAGTCCAGGGGCAAATACAGCTGGAATTATAAACTGCACGAGAGGTTTTTAAGTCCAGGTACATTTTATATCTGGACTTATAAACCTTAAGTGTGGTTTATAATTCCAGAAAATTTATAAATTTTACTTATAAACTTCTAGTGCGATTATAAGTCCAGATACATTTTTCTGGACTTATAATCCTTGAAAATTATTTTTGAAACTATTTCAATTTTTTCCTTTAAAGCAATTCTACAAATGAACTTTTCTGATTTTTTTTTTCCTCTAAAGTACCTTATATATCCTTTTCAGCTGTTGTATTTCATTAAAATCATTGCAAATAACTTATTAAGAATATCTTTTATGCATTAATTACGGAAAAATTCTTTAGAAAAATATCGAATTTTCTTCAGCATCCGTAGAATTGAAAATTGAATGTCAAAGAAACTTTTTGTATGTATCATCATACGCATACTAAATTATAATAAACTAAACGTTTTATCTTCGAAATCATTGTTTAAATTGAATTTTAAGGAAGTTTTAAAAGATAAATCAATTTTTCTGATGTAATTTTACGTCTCCGAAAAACTTCAGCTTTTTTTTTCCTAATGCGTTTTAAAAAATTATTTTTTAAAATTAAAATTTTATTTTATATAACTTTGCTTAGCATATGGTTGAGATTTAAAGCTTAACCAACATTCTATAGTGATTTGTAGTTTAATAACCAAACTTTAATTTTATAAACTTTTATAAACATTAGTTGCAATAAAACTATTCATTTTTCTGTTAATTGGGTGCCTTTCAAGACAATTTAAATATGCAGAATCATAGAAGATGATAGAATGAACGGTATAATAACCATTTTGATCGAAACCCAACTAGTGTCATAAGAAAAAGCGAGATTGTTTGTCATGAAGTCAAAAAAATATCATCTATCTTGGATTTTCTACATTTGGGCGATTCTCCAGAACGGTAAAATTTTTCAAAATGAGCTTTTATAATCCGTTGTCAATTATGCTTACATCATAAATATACTTACTTCGCTGGTCGTACAGATCAATTGTGATCCATGACCTCCCTTATTTGACGCCTATAATTAGTTCTATCGCTGGCTACCGTCTGCTAATTTCCAATACCAAGCGCTATACTGTCTCTATCAACTGCTTCCTTCGACGAGTTCTTTGGTCTTCACGTGATTTCTTGCCATCTACGAAGTCAGATTTAAAGACCTTATTTAATGGAGCTTCCACCGGTCTCCTTGTAACATGTCCAGCCCATCGGAGCCTGTTCACTTTAATCCTTTTCACTATATCAGCTTCCTTAAACAGCTGATAAACTTCTGCGTTGCTCCTACATTTGAAAAGGGTCCTTCTTTCTTTGGTCCTAAAATGACTCTTAGAATCTTCCTCTCGAAAACACCAATTGCGTGCTCGTCTACTGCCGTCATATACCATGACTCTGAGCCAAAGAGCGCTACTACATTATAAATATATATTCTACAAATTCTTTCAATGTAGAATGATTTGAAATTTTAAATTTTTCATCAATAATAATTTACTTTTATAATAAATGATGAAATTTGTCAAAAGTGTAGCTTGAAAGTTCAGAATTACAGTATTTTTAATCAAAAAATTTTGTAATTTTTTAACGGATTAGGAAAATTTAAGCTCTTGCGTTGCTTTGTGACAAAAAATTGACGTTCGGAGAATCGATTTATCTCGATAATTAAGCTTTATTACTGGATTTTGGAGCATTATCATTTCTAAACAGATCTTAATCTTTCATTAAGTGTACATTTAATGCTGCAAAGATGAGGATTTGATATGAAATTTTTGATTACCCTGTTGAAACTTTTACAAAATTCTATTTTTGGTCACAAAGCAACGGGCCTAAGAATTGAAATATCTTAATAATTAGGACAATTCATGCTTGGACAAATAACCAAATAGATAGGAAATAAAAAATTACATCAGATAAACTGAAAAGCTTGTAATTTTTAGTGAAAAATTTCGACAAAAAATTCATTTGAAGTCAAAATTCTTGCAATTTACCCTACTGGAATCGACTATTGTCAAATGCATAATTTTTCATAATTAATAAAGAAGAAAAAAAAATTGAAATAGTTTCACAAATAATTTTCAAGAATTATAAGTCCAGAAAAATGTATCTGGACTTATAATCGCACTAGAAGTTTATAAGTAAAATTTATAAATTTTCTGGAATTATAAACCACACTTAAGGTTTATAAGTCCAGATATAAAATGTACCTGGACTTAAAAACCTCTCGTGCAGTTTATAATTCCAGCTGTATTTGCCCCTGGACTTATAAACTGCACGTGATGTTTTTAGGTCCAGGTGCAATTTGTATCTGGACTTATAAACCTTTATTGACTTTGATTTTCTGGACTTATAATTTTCTGTGCACGATTTTTGTATCTGGACTTATAACCCAGCATCGAAAGTGAGAACGTGTGCCATGAACCCAAACAAGTTTCAATGTTATTGATTATACGATGATTTGGGACTTTCATTCCAAAAATGCAGAGTTTTAAAAACCAAATTTTTTTAAATTTCTAATGAATCTCACTCTGCTTTGTCTTGAAAGTATCTATGCTTGAACAATATTGTCTTTTAACTAATTTTTTCATATAAATGACATGAATTAGACAAATTTGTAAACAATGAAATATTTTATGAAAGTACGCTTAAAATGAATTTTGTAAAATTTTGCATTTTTGAAAAACGACAAAAAAAGAGAATTTCAAAACTCAAGACATATATATATATATATATATATTTACCTCATCATTGGATAACTAAACTTGAGATATTCATGTAGGTTGTCTAAACCATTCAGAAAATCTCGCATATGCCGTCCAAGTACAGATAAAACTCTATCGTATCCATATTGACTGACGAAATTTACAAAGTAGACACCCATCTCATCCATAAATTCCTTTTCGGTTACTCCTAAAACCTATTATAAATGAAATAAAATCTCGTTTGCAAACAATTATTCAACATTTCATCACAAACAATGATTTTAATGTATCTATATAAACTAAACCTAGTAGTTGAAAAATAATGAAAATTTTAAGCAAACTTATGCTAAAGTATGTAAGAATACTTTACTATAAGCCTGCTCAAAACAATTTTTTTAATTTTATGATTTTTTCTATTATAAATTTAAAACGATTTAGACCAAAAATAAAATTAAATAAAAAAAAATATTTACATCTTGTGCAGTAGTTGCGAGTTTATTGAGCAGGTCTTCATCATAATCTTCATGAACACTAAATGATGTTGAGGAAATGCCAGCTTGTCTCCTAATTTCGTCCCATTTTTCATCGCCATAAATCGCTTTTACATATTCTGATAAATTTTCTAGCAATAATCCATACATGTCACAAGGTTCAGACAAATAAAGAAACTGTGTATGTGTCTCAGTCTTTGAACTTACTCCTAATTTTGCCTTGTAATTTATTGCTATTTAAAATAAAAAACAAAATTTATACTTTTTTAATTTTAAATCCATTATGAGTCAAAAAAAAAATATTTCAATTTAAAAAAAAAACATTAAAATTGAAATTAATTAGATGATAATTAGCGTTTAAAATTTTTTTAAAAAAATTATTTCAAGGTAAAATAATTTTTAGATTAAATATTGATACCTAATAATTTATGAATATTTCTTTAGTTCTATACAGCACTATGGGGCAAAATTGAAAAAAAAGGGACTTTCACTTTGATTTTGGGACTTTTTCGAATTACGTTCTCAAGTGAATTTTTTCTTGTAGAAGACATAAAACCTGACTTCTATGCCGAATTTCAAGTCATTTGGTGCTGTTCCTGCAATTTTATGGCTGTTTGAAGTCGGAAAATAGCAAAAAAACAGATTTTTTCAGTCCAACTTTGAAGTCAAAACTCTTTGCAACGGTTAATTAAAATAAAAAACGGGTTTCAGTTTCTAGTAGTCCTATATAAGAACTATATTTGGTGAAGTACATAATTTTTTTCGATAAAATTTTTGTACTCATATGCTAGTAAATGTATGAAAATTCTAGGAAAAATATCTTCAAACACGCCGCAACTATCTTAGATGACGACTACTTAAGGGGTAAAACCATATCATCATTAAGTCCTTGATTTTTAGTTTTCAAAACTGTATAAACATTAAAATTTGACCGGTACACTTTTGAGATAAATTGATTTTAGTAAGCCGTTGAATGTTTGATTAAAATCAAAAATTTCTCATAAAAATTACAAAACAATAATTACAAATATTTTTTTAAATGTTTTCTAATAGAAAATGACATTTAAAAACAGCATGCAAAGAAATTTTTTCAAAAAGTTTAAAATATGTCGATATATTGGGTACATTTGATATCTGACGACTTGTATGGTTTTCCCACCACTTAAAACGCTCCAGTTTTAAGAAAACAAAATATTTTTAAAATCTGTTTTCAGTTTGTTATAGCTCAAATCAAGATCTTTCCAACGATATAAAATACTTGATGCTTGGGTATGATCTTAGTCATGATTATGTGCCTTGTTTGTGAGCGACCCCAAACTGAGAAAAATATCAAAAACGTCATTTGTAGAAATATGACTTAGATACAAATTTAAGTATTGATTTGTGGTTTTTTATGATGATTTATGATAGTTATGACTATTAAAACTCAAAAATTAGCATTTCATAAACTTTTTGCTATCTCAGGTAGCTTTTAAGGTACGACCCTAGTAGTCTCTATTGGACCTGAAAATCTAAAAGATTAGATTATGTTTCAGAGTTTTATTGATTGATATTTCATATTGGAACATATTTAAGTCAAAATACATTACTTTTAGGAAGTTTTGATGGGTAAATTCTTGATTTTGGCTATTTTATTGAATTTCAGCTTGCGTCGTTCACATTCAAACCACTCCAGGAGCAACTTTAATGAACTTTTGATGAATTGATATACATCATTACAAAGGTATTGACATCAGCTAGCAATAAAAGAAAACAGGATGCAAAAATATTGATTCTGAAAAAAGTTCTAGTCATTTGAGTAGATCAAAAAGTACACAAAACCGCAACCAGCATAGGCTGGAAATTTCCGACTTATTTTGCCAAATTTTAACAGTTTTGTGATAAGAATATCATTTAAAACTTCTTTAAATCCTTTGTTGTCAAAATAAGCAAGAAATTTTCAGTTTTTGTAGTTTTGCCTATGCTGATTGCGGTTTTGTGTGGTTTTTGATCTACTCAAATGACTAGAACTTTTTTCAGAACCAATATTTTTGTATTCTGTTTTCTTTTACTGCTAGCTTAAATCAATACCTTTATAATGATGTATTAAACTTTTATAAAAGTTTATTAAAGTTGCTCCAGGAGTTGTTTGAATGTGACCGACGCAAGCTGAACTTTTGCAAAATAGTTAAAAATCACATTTTATCAAGCCAAAAAATCTAAAATTGATTTAATTAACATTTAATTTGCATGAATAAGGTATAATGAGACAATAAAACTCTGAAATATAATCTAATCTTTTAGATTTTCAGGTCCAATAGAGACTACTAGGGTCGTACCTTAAAAGCTACCTGAGATAGCAAAAAGTTTATGAAATGCTAATTTTTGAGTTTTAATAGTCATAACTATCATAAATCATCATAAAAAACCACAAATCAATACTTAAATTTGTATCTAAGTCATATTTCTACAAATGACGTTTTTGATATTTTTCGCAGTTTGGGGTCGCTCACAAACAAGGCACATAATCATGACTAAGATCATACCCAAGCATCAAGTATTTTATATCGTTGGAAAGATCTTGATTTGAGCTATAACAAACTGAAAACAGATTTTAAAAATATTTTGTTTTCTTAAAACTGGAGCGTTTTAAGTGGTGGGAAAACCATACAAGTCGTCAGATATCAAATGTACCCAATATATCGACATATTTTAAACTTTTTGAAAAAATTTCTTTGCATGCTGTTTTTAAATGTCATTTTCTATTAGAAAACATTTAAAAAAATATTTGTAATTATTGTTTTGTAATTTTTATGAGAAATTTTTGATTTTAATCAAACATTCAACGGCTTACTAAAATCAATTTATCTCAAAAGTGTACCGGTCAAATTTTAATGTTTATACAGTTTTGAAAACTAGAAATCAAGGACTTAATGATGATATGGTTTTACCCCTTAAGTAGTCGTCATCTAAGATAGTTGCGGCGTGTTTGAAGATATTTTTCCTAGAATTTTCATACATTTACTAGCATATGAGTACAAAAATTTTATCGAAAAAAATTATGTACTTCACCAAATATAGTTCTTATATAGGACTACTTGAAACTTAAAACCGTTTTTTATTTTAATTAACCGTTGCAAAGAGTTTTGACTTCAAAGTTGGACTGAAAAAATCTGTTTTTTTGCTATTTTCCGACTTCAAACAGCCATAAAATTGCAGGAACAGCACCAAATGACTTGAAATTCGGCATAGAAGTCAGGTTTTATGTCCTCTACAAGAAAAAATTCACTTGAGAACGTAATTCGAAAAAGTCCCAAAATCAAAGTGAAAGTCCCTTTTTTTTCAATTTTGCCCCATAGTGTACAGAGGAAAATTTTCAAGCCCCTCGCATAAAAACGTGGAAAAATTTTCATTTCATTAATTAAACAGTTTTTAAGTCATTAATAGTTGTTTAAACTATTTATTTAAGTACGCTTCGCATTAAAAATGAGGGTGGGCAAAAAAAGCACGATCTAAGTTCAAAAATGACTTTGATAAAATTCCGAGTGGTTCTGGTCAAATTCAAAGAAAACAAGGTTACAAGTTCCACAAAAAGATTCAAAAAACGAATTAACCATTCCTGTAGCCACACGATTCACAAATCAATTAGCAGGTAAGCCTGTTTGGGAATTCGGAGAAGCTCTAAAAAATAAAGTTCTAAGATTACTTTAAAGCGTAAATATTCCAGCAATTAAAATAACAATTCTCGCGAAGAAGCATTCGTTCACTTTTTATCTAAGATGCATTTCTAAGATGAAAACGTGAACATAATTGTGCTTACTCACAATCATCGACAACATCATCGATCGTTAAATGAGAGAACATCAAGAAAGGCAACAAAAACCTAACACAGTGCTTCAACTACTAACGTTAGTGGTCACTTATCTCAAAATTCTGGATATTGGTTCACGCTTCAAATCAGTGCAAGCGAATCACTCGTGGTGGAAATTCAAATGTATTAAAAGCATCTCGCATTCGAAAAATTTGAGAATTCAAGATTTAAAAATACTTAAAATATTGCCCAAAGTTTCGAGTCTTTTAGACAGCAACAGTTTTTCTCCTTTATTCAAAATTCATCAAGTTTCTGCTCATTTAGAACCATTGAATGCTTCAAATAACTCATCATCAACAGTTCATGGAAAGCTCAATCAGAAACAACTAATTAGTTAATATCAAAACTCTTCTCAAAAAATTAATTTCATTTTGAAATATGACATCGTCAAATATCCTCCAGCACCAAACAAACTAGTTCAAAAATGATAAATTAACGTACGATGAAAGAAAAAAATATTTTTCACTTGGCTATTTTTTTTTAAAAAATTTTTATGTCACAAATTCATGACAAAAAAGAGTAAAAAGCGTAAAAAAAGAGTAAAAAGTGTGAAAAAAATTATGAGTAAAACAGGTGTAAAAATTTTAAGGTTGAGTAAATTTCCCCCTGGCTTTTATTTTTTCGATTCGTGAAAAAATTGTCAAAATATCAATCAAAAATCTCAAATGGGCAATCCCACAGATGAGTGGAATTTTGTGAAAAAGAGCTTTTTGGAACAATGTTCTATAAAAAAATTTATCTTGAAAAACCAGTTAAAGTTCTTTATTCTATTCACACCGTTTTCACCAAGTTTTCACGTGTCAATCTATTAGTTTTGTTAAAAAATCAGTTTTTCACATTTTGTGAGAAATCGAATCAAAATTGGTCATAAAAAGTCGTAGCAGAAAAATTATGCCTCAAATTTTACATCATTTGCAAAAAACAGATTTCAAATTGGTTGCGGCATTGCTGAGTAAATCGTGAAATACGCTTTCTGTAAGCAAGCAAACAAACAAGCAAGTTAATCAGCAAGAAATCTCAATAGCGAGACATCGTAGAGACTTCTAGTTTTTTACATTTAATACATGCTGCTCTATAGAAGAGCTGTATTGTTTTTGGGCAAGGTAGGAACAGCCGTTTCTTCAGAAAAAGCAAAAAACTTTCCTTTCTTACGAATTTTTAAAAACAAAAGTTTACTGTGATTTTTATAAAATTAAAAATTGGATAAATTTTTTTTAAAAAATTACAGAAGTCCTCGTGTTATTGATCGAGGGACTTAAGCGCATTTTTGTGTTAGCGATCATTATTTGATTATATAATT